GATTTACAACAGGGGTTTTGAGGAAGGTCACAGCTCAGAGGCAGATGAGGGGAAGAGTTGGGAAATAATGGGAGAGGAGGAGGAAGGGGCAGAAGCAGAGCGGCAGCTGGCTGACATGGTGTTATTAGAAAGTATCCCAGATCCTCCATCTCCCAGAACTCAGCAAGCCTTAAAAGTAGGAGAGCAAAGAGCTCAGAGACAGAGGGTATGTAGCAGCAGCCGTAGAAGTGATGAATGAGGAAGTGGGAGAGATGGGTGTGTGTGGAGATTCACTCGGGATAACACCATTCTCCAAGAGGCTGGGTTCTATAGCCTCTCTCTGTAAATACTGAAATAAAAGAGGACGATAAGAAACCTTTGTCTTTATACTTTCCTGGGCAAGCAGCCGGGAGCTGATGACAGCACCCTGAAACTTCCTTACCTCCCCACCCCCAAGTAAAAGCACCACAAAATAATGACAATTATGCCAGAGATAAGCATGTATACATTGTAGTTGATCAGACCTTTATTTGGATCTCATGGTCATTTTGCAAATGAGGGCTTTTCTGCCAAGACCAAATCTCAGAATGAATTCCACCTTGCCCAAGACCTCGGAGGAAACACGAGCAACAGAAACATACTTTCCAATTGTCATTTTAGAGGACTGGAATGAGAACAGTTGATTGAAACCCAAAGGGCCCAGCTGAGGAGAAAAGTTTGAAGGTCCTTTTGGCTGGTCTGTGCCCCAAGGTGTCACTACGGACAGTCAGGCCAACAATGGTGACTGTGGAATGGAAGCAAGTATGGCAAAGACTTGTGGGTATACCCCTCAAACACAAACAAAATGGCAGCCGTTATATTGGTTACCCAGTGCTTACCCTCATCTTTGGGTAATGGTAATACCTGAGAACACATTTAGTTTCTAGGCCTATATAACAATACATAACAGCTCACGTATTTTTTTTGTTACTGGAAATCATCCTGGAATATTTTTTTTAAAAAATCACCACAAAACAGAAGAGGAAGGTTATGAGAAAGATGTAACTTCAAACTGTGCTTTAAAATTCCCCTGGTGTTCCTCAGGAGGTTAATGAGCTGGGTCAACAATGACAGGCACAATTTCCTGAAAAACAGCTTAGCTGACACCGCCACTCAGTTATTGGGTGTGCTTCCTCAAATCACAAGGGCCCATGATGAGACCCAACAGGCCCAGCCCCACATGGACTGAGAACATGCACCATCGTTGCAACACACAAGAATTTAATGGTAGGTGTCTTCAGCATGCAAGTCAACACGTAAAGAGTTCCTCAAGATAGGAAAATCGCTGCAGGGTGATGACAGCTAGAGAACTATGGGTGGTATTCGATTAAATTTGGTCCATTAATTTAAATAGGACTACTCTGTGCAAAACTTAGCTAAATATCACCCGAAGTTCAGCAAGGGGCATGGCAGATGTTGACATGTTGGAAAGGGTCCAGAAAGGAGCTTCACTAAGGGGAAATCTTGCAAAGGATGTTCTCCGCACGTTGAGCCTGCAAATGCCTTTTCTCTCCTGTTTGTATTTAACACAATTCTTTCGTTCAGAAACCAACCCATCTAACCCTGAGGGAAAAGGACGACAGATCAGGGTGGTCGATTAATTAAATTCCTGATGCTGGAGACAAACAATGAAGGAGGCCTTCACACCCTGAGCTTCTAGAGGTGACTGGCTGGTCAGAGTTAGAAACCAAATGCTGGACCAAAGATGGGTCTTTGGGTCTGATCTATCAGGACTACTCTTCTTTTTTTTACAGTAACACTTCATTGAGGGTCTTCACATGGATTACTAAGGGAGTCCGATAATGCTCGAAGGCTGTACACGCAACGGACAGCTGCTGGTGGAAGAGGAAAGTGCTGAGAGAGTGCGCAAGGAAACCAGTTAGTTCCCCTCGGCACACACAGAAGTAGGTTCATCACTAGTCAATAATAATCTGAGGCACTGGTTGTAGACATGGTCCCATACAGGAGTTAGTATCAGCGACTGTATTGTATAACACAAAGGGCAATTGATTATTTTTATGGAAGAGTCAAGTTCAACCACATTGTCCCGGGGTGGTAGTCAACTGCCTTTTACTCAGACTAGACTCACTGAACTTAATGGACCCAACGTTCATTCGTTTCAGTGGGTTGACCCTGAGTAAAACTTAGTTGAAGACCACCTGTGGCCTTCAACTACTTCTGCAAAACACACCTGTCCCCTTCCTAGGGAACGTTCATGTCATGTTTTTACACCTCTAAACCAGCAGCTGCTGTCAAGCTCAGCAGACACGAACAATGCCACAGCACCAGAAAAGCAGTCGGAATTGGCTTGCAATGCCAGCATGTGAACTTTCTGCATGGACATCACAAAGCATTGCAAACCACTCGCCCTCCACAACAATGCAGATGCTTGGGACATGATTTTTATTCAGAAAGACTCTTTCCTCCAGGTAGCAGAACACACTAAATCATCTGTGTGGAAAATCACAAACGAAGAAGCCTAATAACAGAAATATGGTCAAGCTTCAAGGGCCAGATTGAGAAAACGTTGGCAATTTGATACAAGTGCTTGACCAGGACAAAGTGAGATGCTTACTAAATCCATATGGGTTTTGATGTCTTCCTCAAAGCAGGTCAGCCATAGCAACCGCTGTAAGGCTATGCTGAGATGGGCCAGTCTTGATTTAGCAAATGCGTAGCCGCTGAGTTTCTTGGGTTCTTTTGTGAAGGCTGCTCAGTCCACAAGCCATTGCTGCATCTGGGCTGCCAATGGCAAATGATTACAAGTGTAAATCGCAAGTGATCACAAGAAGGAAAAGAGGTGAGGGGTTCAAGATCCATGTGTGCTCATAGAACAGCTGGTTTCTTAAGGTGCAACTTGTAGGACTGACAAAGTTCAATGCATGAATGACATGGAAGTTCATATATATTCAAAGTCACTCAGCAAGTGTAACAGTCTATCAGGTGGGAGAAAGAGAGATCAATTGCAGAGTTCCTATCTCTTGATTTAGGGTCTAGCAGGATCTAGACCTTTGGGTTTCCTATGGATGCTACCATTATCTTTCACTACTGAAAGTTTTGTTTCCAATAGGAAACTGGATGGAAAGCACTTTTATGGATGGAAATTAAGCCGCTCTGCTTTGGCAACCTAGAAAACGAATGGTGCTGAGCTAAGTTCAGTGCAGGGACGCGGGTGGCGCTGTGGGTTAAAGCCTCAGCGCCTAGGACTTGCCGATCGCATGGTCGGCGGTTCGAATACCCACGGCGGGGTGCGCTCCCGTCGTTCGGTCCCAGCGCCTGCCAACCTAGCAGTTCGAAAGCACCCTTAAGTGCAAGAAGATAAATAGGGACCGCTTACCAGCGAGAAGGTAAACGGCGTTCCGTGTGCTGCGCTGGCTCACCAGATGCAGCTTGTCACGCTGGCCACGTGACCCGGAAGTGTCTCCGGACAGCGCTGGCTCCCGGCCTATAGAGTAAGATGAGCGCACAACCCTAGAGTCTGGCAAGACTGGCCCGTACAGGCAGGGGTACCTTTACCTTTACCTTTAAGTTCAGTGCAGATGCAACAGTCTCGAGCCAGCTACAGTTATGTTGAAAGTAAACAGTTTTGCTAGTAAGACAGCATTTTATGACAGCAAGAGGCTTAAGCTGAAAAGGGACAGCTCTGATTCAAAACAGAACATAGTTCAATAGATGGCTCCTTGACACTCTATTGAAGAATTCCAAAATATCTGTGGCCTTTGGGATTTTTGGCTTACTCTACCGCCAGTGAGTTATCAGGCTAACCCAAGAGAGATCTGAGGACAATATGGCACATATGATGGAAGGGAGATGTGAAGCCCAGGGACTGAGCTGGTCAAAGGAAGAAAATGTCACTGGACTGACCTGCTCAGGAACACATTTGCAAAAGCTCTGCTTTACTGAAAGCTTCAGTCCTCCAAAGAGACATGGAAGTGATTGGTGGTTAATTTTACCGTCCTATAAATAACTGCAGTCTTCATTCCTAAACTTGCAACATCATAATCTGCAAAATTTCTCCATGAACCTAAAAACAAAAAGGGTAAGGTAGTCATTTCCCCGCCCCAAGTATTCTTATTCTTGACCATCGGCACAAATTGCTTCTAATGGTGAAGACAGACATAACGTTTAAACAGTGGTCGCAAGAACTTCCTCGCCTACAAGTCAAACCCTGGATAAAGCAATTAGTCCTGTTTATAAAGAGTGTGGGTTTTTTTTTTTGGGGGGGGGATATATTTTATTTAAAATAGCATATGTAAGTGTATTCATCTCTAGGTTCACCTTTTCCCATTTTTCTCCTGTTAAAAACTGGCGAGCATCCAGTTTCCAGGGAGAAAAAGCGGGTGGTCAGGTGGTGTTCATGGCATTACATGCGCTAGCCAATCAGTACTCTGCACAGCTGGCTTTTGCTACAGATGAGTGCAGGTTTTTCAGAAGTCACCCTGCAAAACAATGCATATATTTTAAAATAAAAACCCCATAAGGATAAAGAGAAAGGAAAAGATGGTTTCACCCAGTGTGATGAGGATGCTTCGGGAATCGCCTCACTGTTTTTACAATGATACAGCTGTCTTCATCATCAAAAACAAGGGGTTCTTTCAACGAGAGAGCAATCTTTTTTATCTGAGATTATTTTCTTTCCCTCTATTATTGAACATGCATCAAAACAACAGAGTCTTACTCGTCATTTTTTGGGGTGAGGTGGTGGTGGGAGGAATTAGTGCAGCAAAGAAATGTACGTGCTCTCATTCTACTACTTCTATAAGTAAAGTGTCAAAATAGCCTAACAACATCCAGACAAGTTACCAGACCAAAACTTGCAGGAATCGGTGAAGGATGCAAATCATGAGCTAGACTTAAGGTACAATCCTAGTGAAAGGGAGGTCCATGAAACTCATTTTTAACAGATGCGCCCTCAGAAAGTTTCCCACAGCACAACCAAATCCGTGAGAACATCTTCGTGGAGATCACGTATGGAATGCCGATACCATAGGGTGGAATTTACCATTCAGCTGCATCACTAACACATACAGGATATGCCGACATTCCTATCAGGGAGCAAGGATAATCGTGAACATTTCCAGTGAATTCGCAGAGATGGAACTTCCCGCCCAACCCATCCCATAAACATCATGCCGTCTGCATACATAATATAATCCAGTATTGTCATGCTAAAGAACAGCCCCTCCCCCCCAAAAAAACCCCAAAACGGAATCCCCAGAACTTTTAGTGAAGGTCAGAGAGTTCCCTGATGGGAACACAGAGTTTATGCACAGTGATGAGTATCAGAAGCAGGTTTTCCAGCATTAAGCGTCCACCAATGACAAGCCGGAGAAGTCAGCACCATTATTTCAATCCCCCGAGCAAACGAAGATTCTTCATGTTTTATCTCGTTGATGAGACGGGTTGGGCTTTGGCTACTCCTCCAGTTCTCGAGAGCGGTCTTCTTTTGGCAGTGCCATCGCTTCATGCCGTATTTCTGTTTGATTTCTTGTGAAGAAAAAAGTTCATTTCGGAATCATCTGGCAGGGCGGCAGCTTCAGAGGCTGGCAACGGTTTACGAAGAGCTCTCTGCCGAGGCTGTTAAAAACAACAACAACAGACAGGCCGTAAGTAGATGCTTAGCTCAAAGAGAGGCAATTACAACACGTCGCGGCTGAAACAAAAGGTCAAGGCTACATTACACAAATCACACAACTGCTAAAGCAAAGCGTGCCCAGGCATATATTTGCTTTATTTTATTTTCCTGCATTTGCATTCCACCTGCCTGGAATCCAAGGCAGTACACACGAGGCAGGCAGGAGGTCTCCCATCCACTCACTCACTGACCAGACCCAGACCTGCTGAGCATCAGCAAATTGGTGCCCTCTCATGCGCCTTCAGATAATCACCTGGGACCATTTCCCCCTTGCATCCAGCCCTTCCTTCCGAGCACAATTCAAAGTGTTGGTGCTGACCTCTAAAGCCCTAAACGGCCTCGGTCCAGTATACCTGAAGGAGCGTCTCCACCCCCATCATCCAGCCCGGACACTGAGGTCCAGCGCTGAGGGCCTTCTGGCGGTTCCCTCACTGCGAGAAGCCAAGTTACAGGGAACCAGGCAGAGGGCCTTCTCGGTAGTGGCACCCGCCCTGTGGAACGCCCTCCCACCAGATGTCAAAGAGAAGAACAACTACCAGACTTTTAGAAGACATCTGAAGGCAGCCATGTTTAGGGAAGCTTTTAATGTTTTACAGACTACTGTATTTTAATACTTTGTTGAAAGCCAGATGGGCGGGGTATAAATTATTATTATTATTATTATTATTATTATTATTATTAATTATTGCACTGTACCCCAAAGTTGGTTGGTGGCCACATTTGGCTGGGGAGGAGCCACAACTCAGTCGTGGAGAATCTGCCTTGCATGCAGAAAGTCAATCACAGGCATCGCCAGGTGAGGCATTTAGCCAGTTCAATGGAAACCATACGACTTAAAAGTCAAAAAGTGCACCCAACTTTGATCGAGTCAAAAGTCAAAATGCACTTAACAGTCAAAAAAGCGCACCAGGCAAAAGCAAGCACTTGAAAAAAACCCAAGCATCTTTGGGAACCCTCACCTGAAGCAATTATTAAAGTCATTATCAGTTGGTGACTCATATAAGTTTTAATCTGCTAATTAGTGGACCAAATATGCACACTTAGCATTCCAGATGTTGGACTCCAACTCCCACCAGCCCCAGCCAGCCTAGCTGATGGCCAGCAATGATGGGGGTTGTAGTCCAGCGACATTTTGGAGGCCCACAGTTTCCCTATTCCTGGGCCATGCAGTGCACATGCATAGCTTAACCACCTCCCTCAGGAACGTCCCACCACCAAAGCAATTGCTTTAGTCATATGCTAAGTATGCATATTTGGTCTACTAATTAGCAGATTAAAACTTACATGAGTCATCAACTGATAATTGCTTCAACAGGGTGCTAGCCCAATCTACTTTTGTTTTGTTTTAGTTTTTATGAACTCTGCAGCCGGGATGCTTCTTCTCCAAAGAAGATCTGCTCCAGGCCTGTCGCCAGCACAACCTCTGCTTTCAAAGGGATTTGCTGTCCCTGCTGGGTTGGATAAGGATCTGCCTTTCTCCAGCCAGAAGGGAAATCCAGGATTGTTTGTGTGAGAGAATGAGTGTGAGAGAGAAGGTCAGCAGTAAAAGTTCTGCTCTGCGTACAGAAGTTCCCAAGTCTCCCATCTCCATGTACAGATGGAGAAGATACCTTGCCAGAAACCCTGGAGAGCTGCTGCCAGTTAGTGTGGGCAATATTGAGCTAGATGGATTGTTGCTGTAAGGCCCTATGAGAATGTGGGCGTACAAAAGTGTGAACGTGTCCAGACACATCTACTGGCAGGTGGCCCTTCAGGGGCAAAATGGTTGCCCACCCCTGACTTATGGCGTAGGAATGAAAGCTGAGGTAAGGACAAAATGTTCAAAAGGTAAAATAAACACCACAAACACATACTAATAAAGCACTCCTATCCCTAATTTAGGGACGCGGGTGGCGCTGTGGGTAAAAGCCTCAGCGCCTAGGGCTTGCCGATCGAAAGGTCGGCGGTTCGAATCCCCGCGGCTGGGTGCGCTCCCGTTGCTCGGTCCCAGCGCCTGCCAACCTAGCAGTTCGAAAGCACCCCCGGGTGCAAGTAGATAAATAGGGACCGCTTACTAGCGGGAAGGTAAACGGCGTTCCGTGTGCTGCGCTGGCTCGCCAGATGCAGCTTGTCACGCTGGCCATGTGACCCGGAAGTGTCTGCGGACAGCGCTGGCCCCCGGCCTCTTGAGTGAGATGGGCGCACAACCCTAGAGTCTGTCAAGACTGGCCCGTACGGGCAGGGGTACCTTTACCTTTACCCTAATTTAATTTAATGAGAGTGAAAGAGGAGAGTGCAAAATATGGTCTGAAGCTCAACATCAAAAAAACGAAGATCATGGCCACTGGGCCCATCACCTCCTGGCAAATAGAAGGGGAAGAAATGGAGGCAGTGAGAGATTTTACTTTCTTGGGCTCCATGATCACTGCAGATGGTGACAGCAGCCACGAAATTAAAAGATGCCTCCTTCTTGGGAGAAAAGCAGTGACAAACCTAGACAGCATCTTAAAAAGCAGAGACATCACCTTACCAACAAAGGTCCGTATAGTTAAAGCTATGGTTTTCCCAGTAGTGTTGTATGGAAGTGAGAGCTGGACCATAAAGAAGGCTGATCGCCAAAGAATTGATGCTTTTGAATTCTGGTGCTGGAGGAGACTCTTGAGAGTCCCATGGACTGCAGGAAGATCAAACCTCTCCATTCTGAAGGAAATTAGCCCTGAGTGCTCACTGGAAGGACAGACCCTGAAGCTGAGGCTCCAATACTTTGGCCACCTCATGAGAAGAGAAGACTCCCTGGAAAAGACCCTGATGTTGGGAAAGGAGAAGGGGACGACAGAGGACGAGATAGTTGGATAGTGTTCTCGAAGCTATGAACATGAGTTTGACCAAGCTGCGGGAGGCAGTGGAAGACAGGAGTGCCTGGCGTGCTCTGGTCCATGGAGTCACAAAGAGTCGGACACGACTAAACAGCTAAACAACAACAACATCCCTAGCTCCCTTTTGAGCATTTTATTGGTAACTGTTTTCTCTGTGGTTCCTTTTTGTGTGAAGAACAGTCCAACTTTCCCCCCTTGCGTTTATATGGAAGCTTAAAAAGTTCAACTCACAAGTTGTGTATACTTGGATAAGAAGTGAAACTGCAAATTCACAGGATGAATTCTTGCAGGGTTGATCTTTAATGAAGGGCTAACTCTACCACAGCAAAATCTGGTGATAAATCCTTGATCAGGATAGGATGGAGCATGGACTATCCCAGCTCTTAATGAGACACTGCTCAGGAAAAACTGATTTGGCCAAAGAATATCAAGCACCCCCTTCAATATCCAGACTTTTCATGTCTTCTGGAAGGAGCTCTGTCTTAGAATAATCTGCAAAATGTGTGCACAATTTTCAAAAACATATAAGGATCCCAACTGATGAGGAACAAGCAAGTTTAATGCTCCTCCAGAGTGTTCCTGGGATGCCAATATTCTGAGTGTTTTGCTTGTTACGTCTTGACGCTTATTCTTATTTTTACAAAGCTCAGCGAAGAGGCATGCTATCAATGAAGAGGCATGCTATGAATTGGCAGGCGTTTTAGATGATGGCCGAAGAGAGGGAAGCTGCCATTTCGTAGCAGCACCTTAAACGGGGACCCTCCACTTTAATCCTGCAAACGTCCCCATGTCCTGCCAAAAATAGAGAAAAGCCCCCAACGACTTGTAATTAGACACCTTGCATATAGGTGTTCTACATGTACTCAACTCCTGATAAAAGATCGCTTATAAATAAAATATACACCCGAAGAGCCATGGCTTGCAGCCAGCAAACAGATGCTCCACAAGAGAATTACTGTTGCAAGCTAGCGTATTTTTGCCAAGAAGCTACGGATGAGACAGGGCAAAGGCAAGGATGGCTCCGGGTTCCAGTAATTTCCCGTGGGTCACATTAAGGTTAAGGCTGCATTTGATTCTGATTTTCACTGAACAGTGGAATGTCAGAGGGAGTTTACTGCTCTAAGCTTCCTGTATTGAGGTCACATTGCCGGCAAATAGAATTTCCAAGCCTGGCCCCCTGTGTACAAATCCGGACATTGCTGCATGTATTTTTTTTATTTATTGCACAACGTTCTAACAAAGCAATCCACTGATAAGTGGCATCGACGGTACACCAGTTCAAAGGTGGTTTTGAACAGCTCAGCTACTTGATGGGAAAAGCAGTATGAAAACGAAACAACAAGAGCCTCTGGTTCATTCTGTCCTCCAGGCCAGATCAAGGATGGAGGGGTTTCGGGGGCAGCAATAATCGGGAACTGCGTAGGCAACGCTTTAAAATTCACGCTCATGCACACGTCAAAGTCTCCGCCAAACTAACTGGGAGTTCTATTTTAAAAATCCAAATTCCGCCAACGTATAAATCATGCAAATGGATGAAATTGCATATGCCTGCTTATTTTCTGTAATTTGATCTGCTCCCATTCGCCATAGAACTGGGCAAAGAGCAATGCCAGGCCTTGCCCCCTGACCTGCGGAGATCTTATCCAGCCTCCCTTCCGGATTCCGAAATTTCTTCAAGCGCTGGCCAAGCACTTTCAAGCATATCTCCACAATAATAAGGGGCCATAAAGCTGCTCTACGTTGTTTTAAAAAGAAAGTCGAGGTCCTTAGGAACCTGAAATCGATGGCTAATTTCGCATTTGAAGGGCTTTTCTGCACTTCCAAAGAACTGCAGCAACATTTTCACAGGCAGGCCTAAAGCCAGGAAGTTTTGTACGGGAAGTGACACGGCTCAGTGTTGGAGCATCTCCTTTGCATGCAGAAGGTCCCGGGTTCGATCCTTACCATCCCCTGCCTGAAACCATGTACAAAAGATCTGATCACCAGAAATTATGCCTAACCTGTGGTTTTGTCCAGATTTGAAAAGGTCATCTGTTTTCAAACCAAAGCGAGGACACTTTAAAAATAAAAATAAATTTTTATTAAAT